ACGCAAGAAATGGTAGCAGTCGAAAGAAATGAAATGAGTTGAAGACCTTGTAATAATACTAGTAATCTCCCTTATTCCAAAACAGTACTTGACTTATTTACGTATGCATTTTAACGTGTCTTCTAATTATCTTATTTTTGTCTTTGTAGACATTGCCTAAGGTTCCGTTGTACGGATCGTCTGGAAGCAGTCTTTAATTTCATCTACCTTCCGCGAAGTTTGACGTACGAAAAGTCGACATTTTACTGACTGGAAAACGCTACAATTGGTGTTACTGATGCGGCGATACGCCAGACTAGACACGTTATAGCAACGTATGCCTGTAATAACATTACCTACATAGTAAATACAATGCTAGTTACAAAAACTCGTCATTATCTTTTCATTGCGTACTTACAAGAAAGAAACGTTCACCTTACTTCTCATACTAAGTACTGGAGATTCCGCCTAGTACTCACTTTTACTTGCTCTCTAGAAAATGCTTTCTACTATATTCGCAAATGACTATTAGACTTCTGTCACATGAAACGGTAAAACATAAGGCGTATGCAGTTTAGAAGTTAGGGTATATTTGCATTTATTGACACAAAATTTATGTACATCTTCCATTATTATAAAAGAAAGTTCTCAAAGTAATTCAGAGTTGCTCGCAGTGCACTAATAGTATATTCATTACTATAATTATCCTGCATAACTGCGAAGCTTCTGTTCAATTGCCTGCGAAGTTGCAGTATCTCCATGCAGGGTTTCTTCACTGAACCTTCACACGGCACACGACTTGGTAGCAACGGATCCTGCCAAAACCATCTGCGACACAGGCGAATTACTTTGTCAACTAAAAATATTAATTTAAATATTAGTAAGAGTTTGATTTACCTGTAAACTGAGGAATTTGAGTGTGACATAGCAGCATATGCCGGCAAGGTATTCTTTGTGCCCTAAATATTCTGCAGGTACAAGTAGAATTGGTATAATCCACTTGGTGCAGGTATATGCCGTCATTTATGATAGCCATATCATCAGTGTACAACTCTATGTTCATCCGACGATTACGGCCATAGTCCTCGGCAATTAACTTAGCGGCATAAGGAGTGAAGTTTCCTAATATCGGCATAACTGGTTCCGGTGCGTGGTACTTGTGAATTTGACAACTTTCGACGATTACTTCAACACTACGACGCTTCTCTGTGCGTACACACCATTTATACGTCTTGTACATGCATACGTGTAGGGGATCTCTTCTGTGGAGATATCGTTTTAGGTGACTGTGAGAGCTTTCAACTCTATTGTTGGTACTATTAAACAGCAACAGAGTATTCGGCATATATGCCGCAGCCCACGTCTCCTTCTTAGGCACCCAGTAATGCCTGACATAATTCCACACCCTCCGATCAACCATCCTAATGACACTAAGGTAGTGATGAAATCTAAACGGTTAGAAATCAATGCATTTACCTTTCAGGTGTCGCAGCCTTAACAAGACGATATAAAAACCTGCGTACAAAAGGATTTCGAGTCTAAATGCATCAAGTATTAATTACATTCACCTCACCTTCCTGCTGAAAGCCCGGCATACATGAAATGCACAGATGACGATTTTCGCCTGAATTTGACTATTACGCACGGCGGATATCTCACAGTTGGCCGAATCCATTACGAAAGTTTCTGTAATGGACGTATCCTGCATTATTCTTTGGAATTGTTCCAATATCCAAGCTACATCACATGACCTCTCTCGTCTCGTCCATGACAAAAAAACAGGCCTGCCATGACCCATATTGTCTGTTACCACCAACTGAAACAGAGAATATCTGATTAAGATTTGTCAACCGTTTCACGTATAACCTACCCGTCCTTATTGGTGTTGTATGTTGAGTCAATACACACCACCTCTCCATATTTCCGACATAACTGAACCTGTGATTCCAGGGGGGAGAAAATTCTGCTGGTTATCTTATAACATCTGATCTCAAAGGCATGGCTTCAAAAATAACTTTAAACTACTTCAGTTACCTGGTCTCACATCCTTACGTAAATTGTACACATCTGTGCTCGTCAAAATTTTATTAAAATTCTCTTCAGCATATTCCAAAACATCAGCAACCTCAGATGTAGTCCTCACAACTGGTGCAATATTCTCCTTTTCATCCCCGGACAGGCGTCTAAAATATGGATCACCTATCATAAGACTTTGTTCACATCTGTGATTGTGAACTGTTTTCGCGGAAGAAATGATAAACTCGTCCTCCTTGTAGCGTATACGAAAGCCAGATTGGCAACCGGTGTATTTTGCACTGCAGAAATAAATAATAGAATTCTTACGGTTTGACGCGTAAACCTGAACCTCTAGTTTTTCGCTTCATGCCATATGTACAACGAAAGACTACTAATTTGTACTTCAAATCCTGAGATTCATGGTCCCGTATGCACTTTTTGATTACATAATGTGTATGAGTTGCCTAGGAATACTCTGTCATACATATATACATATATTACTGATTCCAGCTGACTTAGAGCATCTTCTACTTGAACCCAACTGGTATACCGGTGACTAAACATAATTCCGTCAAAAAGTTTTTTGATATCCACTGATATAGGAAGGGCAGGTTGGTCGCCATTGTCTCCAAGTGCCAATGCGTCCATTCGGTACCATTGTAAATGAAAACAGAAGCTTTTCAATAAAAAAATTCATGAATAGCCAACAGAGTACAGTAAGCAACTTAAAAGAGACATTGACTTGGAAACTATAGCGGGAAAAAATATAAATTCCTTACCACAGTTACCGTATTGGAAAGTTCCTGATTATAGCCATAAACATTTTCTGAAACACTCGTGAACGACAAATATGGACAAAAGTGATGAAACGAAGCTCTACAGAAATCATTGAGACGCCACAAACAGGAGGATTTTAGGTGCACCCTATAATTTTCACATGAAACACATTCTCAAGCATCCTCCTGCACCATAACTGCCATCAGGCCTAGAGGCAGCTTTTGACGACTATTCTTAACAAAATCAATACAGTTCAAGCCAAACAGAAACCAGAATCACGTCAAATGCAGCTACCAAGATCAAACGAAACAAATCAGCCAAACTCAAATCAACTAGACCGCGCAAATGTCCTCAAGGTAAAGCTGGAGGCGCCACTTCAAACAGGGGATATGCCCTATCAACGCCCGTGGCAACGAAGATTATGAGCAGCATCCATTTTGAGTGATGAGAGGTCTGATTGGTTGGTTCAAGGTTATTTGACCTCAGTGTCTGTTGTTCACTCTCATCATGCATTTCATATGCGACAGAAAATATAACATTGAATGAGTCATAAATAAAAGTTTTGCAGAAGAAATCAGGGCGAAGTTCAAAAATATCGTCTGAGGAGTGCTAATGCTCTAATAACTTTAAACGCATACCAGTCGTTGGCTGACGGCACTGGCTCAGGGAATTCATCAGAGATAGGAGGCAGAGGGTTAGTATCAAACAGAAACTCTCCTCTTGGACAGCAGTACGCAGCGGAGTGCCACAAGGCAAGGTACTCGGACCTCTCCTATTTATTTTGTATATCAATGAGTTATCTCTGCTCACCGATTCTCCTATGGTCCTATACGCAAATGATTTAAGAATTTGGAGAGAGCTGAAGGGCAACAGTGATAAGTTCACGTTGCAAGACAACCTCAACAAATTGTTGGAGTGGTCCGTGGAATGGATGCTCCCAATCAATGAAGCAAAATTTGCAGCCAAGCGCATCGGACAAGCACACATCAGCTCCTACGAACTAGAGGGAATAAACTCCCATCAGTTCAGGCTCATTTGGATTTAGGTTTCAAGGTAAGTCACGATTTAAAAACCCCAGCACTCTGTCGCGAGGTGGCTGCACGTAGTTTTAGATCCTTATGGGCGATTCGCAGGGCATTTACTAAAATCACCAGAGATATGTTCACCTCGTTACATACATCTCTGGTGAGGTCTAGACTAGAAAACTGTATCCAGGCAGCCAGTCCTTGTCTTAAAGGGGACTCACACATTCTAGGGTTCAAAGGAAGGCAACACGTATGGATCACGGCATGACTAACTTACCATACGAGGAAAGACTAGACAGTTTAAATCTCACCCCCTGTCATACCGTAGGCGGAGAGGAGATTTAATCACAATGTTTAAAATTTTAAATAATGACTACGGACCTGCCCTATTGTCTCTTTTCCTTCCCACCAGGTGGGAACACCTTAGAGGACATAGCAGGAGAGTTCAAAAGCCAAGAAGAAACCATATTGCTGTTGAGTACTGGTTCTCACATCGAGTCATAAACTCTTGGAACCAACTTCCAGAAGAACTGATGTCTGCAACCTCAACTGATTCATTTAAGAAGGGTTTGGACAACCACAGAAATTTACTAGAAGTGGATTAACATAGGCTCTAAGCATTCTACCCTCACTAATAAATCTGAATTTGAATTATCATAGCTAAAATATCAACGCTTTTCACAAACTATTTCGAGAATGTGTTAGTAGTTCGTTAGGGTTAGGATCACGGTTATTATTACGGTTTGGATAAGGGTTATGACAAGGGTAAGAATTAAGGTTAGGGTTACGATTAGGGATAGATTTAAAGTTGATTTCATTTATTCTAATTTGTCTTCTTATCCACATTTTCCTGGTACATCGTCTATTCTCTTACTGGAAACCATAGTAATTCAACCGAGAGCATTGGGGAGGACTGTACAACAAGATAAGAGAGACGAACGATTCACCAAAACAGCACATCTTCAGTCACACCGGTGAACATATGTAAGGAAACTAGTCTAACTTAGCAACTGATAGTCCTCATTATAACTGGGACGTATGTTTAAGTTATATCAGAGAAAGACAGCCTGTTTAATCCATTTTCATGCATTTTCTTGTGAATAAACGTCATTTTTCGTGCAAAATCCGTCATTTTGATGATTGGTAGGCTTAAAGTCAACCGTACGTTCGCATCTCTTGGGGACACTATTGTTGAAATTTTCCGAAATCAATATGTGGCGGAATTCTTGAAGAGTTGCGTTACACTCTCTGTTTGTTGCATCACATTCCTTGAACCCTGTAAATGACGATTCAGAATATTTAGAAAGTGAGTTGGAATGTATAGTGTACACAAATACATTTTTGGTGTACGATGTATACTATGTGAAGTTTTACTGTCAGTGCTATCATATAATACACAGCACTGCCAGTCACCAGTGGACTTTGAAGTCCTCCTTAAGTAATTATGACGTATTAAGTATTCATTATAAATGTGTTTGTGGCAAGTTTTAGCTTCAGTTAAAGTACGTAAAGTTAGGAAACAGAAACTCATTGATTCAAAGGATTGCAACTTGATTAGAATAATGTTAGAATGCATGTACCAACCTAATGAGATTTTTTGGGGTATTTTCATGCAACTCCCCACTGCTAGTACGGTAATCCGCTCTAAATTTACCTTTAATTATTTTGTTGAATTCTTTTGCTGGAAATCCACCCACCTATCGCATCAAATTATAAATGCGGGACGATCTACGCAAAAGTTCACCGAGGACCGGAAAGCGAACACAAAGAAATGAAATTGGTGTACAGTAGTTCATAAGAACGATATAGGATTTAGCACCTTTCTACAGTAATGAATGTCATAACCTACTTTATGTGATATTGGTTTATTTCCGTGATTTAGGACTAGAACTTCCAGTAAAATCGTGCAATTTAACTTTCAAAAGCTTTGAAAGAACCGCAGATTCCCACTTTAACAGCCTGTTACTATACTGACTGTTAAAGGTAGATCCTTATGAAACGGGTAATATAAACAGCTGAGGCGAGCGTATTTTGATTTTAATGAGTCCACCACTTGAAATAATCATTAATTTTTACTAAAATTAGTAAAAAATTAAGAATCACAAACCATGTCAGAACAATCGCGAATCACTCTAGTCATTTATATTTATGCTTGTCCGTGTACAAGTATTGAACAGGGTCCAACCAAGATGACATAAAGCTGATGTGGTAATGTAACACTTGCATCTTTTATGGTTTGAATAATCTGATTTATCAGTACATAAGGTTGTGTAGAGATTATATTGCGTAGGTATTTGGTTATATTTGAGTAACTTATGTGAACCATTCTTATTAGTTGGTGGTAATTGGCGTTTGACGTGTACCAACCTCCTTTCACACATTCTGTTCGTGTGGTGCCCATCTTTTTGCGATATTATCCTAATCTTCTTTCGTATCATAATAGTCAGACACGTTGCCGTTTTCGAGCCCTTTTCCTCAAGCTTACATAAAAGTCTATTGAGTAACTCACCGTAGGTCACTATAAAGGTTCTTTAGAGGGTGATCTGTAGTGTGCATAAATAATTCAACCTTTAAACATGTGTACACGAATTTGATAAGTATCTAACTGTGACCTATATGCATGGTAAGTGCATTGTGATACATGGTCTGCGTTTGTGTGGTAGTTACGTATTCATTTGCTGGCCAGGGGTGGAATGGATTATTCCTGAATAGCTTCAATTTTTTATACTAATATTTATATCCTTAAGAATGATAACTTCGGCAGATATTTCATAACTTTTTGAATTCTGTTAGGTTATTCCAGGTTTGGTGTGCATTTCAGCTAACATATGAGGATATCTGCGTATGATTCCTCAAGAAAATCAGGTTCACGGTGTGCATCGCCTAAATTGTTAACGCTGCTTTGTGTAGTGTCTAGTGATTTGCCCGTTATTTAAACCATACTTCTGTGTGATAGTATTCAGATTAATCATTTTTCGTGGGGTTAGATTGTATATGTAGAACTATTTGCATAGGATTTTGTTGTCTTGTTGCATTGTCTTGATCTCTAATAATTAAAGCGAATTGGGCTGTTCGTTAATTTCAAATTCAGCTTTAATTTCAGTTTAGTCTGAATCTTCTTAACCTTTTTACTATTTTACAAAAGATATTCGGATAGAATTTTCTGATTATAACTTTTTCTGAATGTTTAGATGACCAGCACTTGGAGTAGTTTATGTCTTTCCCACATTTCGAAGCAGTTAAGTGAGGCGTTTAGGAAATCAGCTTCGTTTATGATTTCCACCTCTGCCAGTTTGATTAATATTTACTACGTCTTATCTCCTGGAGAAATTCTTTCTACTCCTGTGGCTTCTGTTTATCAGCAAATGGTAGAACAAATGCAGGATTTAATCACACGGGACACGGCTTTATTGTATCCTCTTCCAAGAAAACAGTTTTTGGCTGAGTCATGGGTTACATCTGGAAAGTTGTTGGTGATACTCGAATCTTCAATCCTTGGTGAGGGTATACTAAAATTAGATTTTCAGAAAGACTTCGAAATAGTAAGTGGTTGTCAGCGATATTATTGTGTATATGCATGTGTATGTATATGTGTACTTCTCAGTATCCATGTTTGACTGAAATGTTAGGGCAGAACTTTTCACAAAGGTACATCATTTGGAGTTGGTATGTTTCAGAGAGACATGTATAAAAGTAGTAGATTGAAATGTAATGAAACTAAAATGTTTGTAAAAAAGAACAGTTAGATTAAGGATAAGGAGGACTTTCAAAATCTGCATGATAAAAAGTGAATACATCTGCGCTAGTAGGAACGGCTTTGATCTATGTTAGCAACGTCTGATTCTTAACATCCCTTGGACCCTACTCAGGTTGTCTACATCCCTTTATGTAGCTTTAAGCAACAGTCAGTAACTTAATGGGTTTGTACAAGTGTTTTTATTTGCCCATCCCAAACCTGTTTCCAGCCTTATCCAATTTCAGAGAAGCCACAATTGTGAGAGAAGGATTATTTAACAAACCCATGAATTTCGGTGGGATTCATCAACCGAATAGCTTTGGAAACATGATTATTTCTAATAGTTCATTTGTTTAACGTACATGATAGCAACAATTAAGCAATTTAGTATCAGGCTCGACAGATTAATGATCGATAAAAGGCAAGTGATGATTTGATGTAATTAAAAAATGAGTAATATGCTTTAAAGTACGAAGTGGAGTTACCGTAGTAGGAACGATTCAAATTCTGAACAATTAGACTTGAAAACAATGATCTGGCTTTTCCACCCTGATGGTACAGGCTTCAGGGAACCTAGGTGTTATATTATTGCCTAGCTTATTAGTGACTATTAAGCTTTCTTTAGCACAATAGTATGATCACAGTTCAACGAATGACCTGTGATTGAGCTCGTTGGGATGCCATCGTGAGCCATTTAGTGCAGTGTTCTTTAAAACATTTCCAGAGTTCTCAGATGAAGAGTTCTATCGAAATTTACTATTTCAATCAATACTGTTTTTTCAAAATTACTGCTTGCTTTAAATTTACTTCGGGGAAGAAATTCTATGTTATACTGCTTGTTTGGGAAGGCGGCAGTTTGGCTTGCATAACACGTATCAACCGATGAAGCTGCACAAACTCTTTACTTAACACTGTTTGTGACCTAAATGTAAGTGGTCATATTGCACCATGTAACACAAAACTCTGAACGGAGGTATCTGTGGTCAAAGTCTCTTAATGTGTTTATATCTCTTATCTTTAGCGGCCTTGTTTCATAACCATAAAGTAGGACGGAGCAAACTGCTGCACAGTACACACCTTTAGTGAACATCTTGATATCACAACTGTGTGAAAGGTAAGAGAAGTTGATCAATATCAAAAGAGCATTTTTTGTGCGTGCTGAAATTTTGGCAGCAGTTAATTTACTAGTAGTCATGCAACTTCATAGATAACTGAAGAGGTCACCACACCTTACCACTTCCCTACCTGTCTTTAAACTAAAGTCTACAAACTCCCTCCTGAGGCATCATCGTACATTTGACGGCGGTAAAACACGTGCTTAACACACTTATCTTTTTGCTTTGGATTCAAAGGACTATGTTTTGTCATCACAATAAAGCGTGACACCAGTCCGTTAACTCTTTGATAGTTAGATTGACTTATGTAGGGAAATGTAGACTGTCTGTTTGTGGTTCTCGAAATGCTAAGAACCAATGGCTGGAAAATATTTGTGATATGACTCAAAATTGTTCTCAATAGCTCAGATGCATTCACTCTTTGTGATCTCCCATATCGATTAAACCGTCATGTTTTTCCATGTTACTATTCTTCGTCTCACATTTGTACTTATTATAATACTTTTGAATCCCTTTGTTCTCTTTTGATTACTTTTGTATGTTACATATGATGTTGCGACTTGAAGTGTTGTACTTCTGTGCTAAGTTCTACGTTGAGATTCGGTCAGTCAGAGTTGACTACCTTGATTAGTGTGAGATACTTTTTTGAGATTCTCATCATGGTAACAGGATCTCCCAGTCAATGGAGTCATATGCCGCCCTCATGTCAAAAACCACGACCAGTGTTTGACGTTGGTGAGTTTGCCTATGTCCTAAAATCTGTAGAAAAGTGAAGATGATCAATGCACCTCGTTCCTGGTCTAAAGCCTGTCTGATTTTATGGTGTCTCTCTTACCCTAATCTTACTATTCACAAGGCTATGGAACCTAGACCCTTAGATGCTATGTTAATCCAACTGTTATCGGTTTGACCCTTCATAAAATGGGATGATCAACAATCTACACCAGTCCTATGGAATATCTTGGAATTTTGCACGCTAGCTGCTACCTTAGTAATTACTAATTACTAACACTGTTAAACTGTCCTTAAATTCTAAAAAACGTAGATTATTTTCTTATTTATTATATATTAATTATCCGATGTCTAAACACTATGACATTAATGTAATGGTGTACTACTATAGTCAATGAAAGTATTTTTGTGCATAAACTTCATTAAGTTCTAAACCCCTTGTGCTAGGGAGGCCCAAACACCTTATATTTTTTAACAGCATGGTCGGCATAATCGTTTGGAATCAGTACTATGTCAACATGCATCCTATGCACTCCGTTTTAACCAGAGAGTTAAAGGTTCCAAACTTCTTTCACATACGGAGATTTGTGTAGCCAGGCAGTATCATCAACCCTTGCACATTATGTTTGGCTAATAGCCAGTTGCAGTTTCGCTCATTCAATTGTCGTGTAATTTAGTTGGCTTATCCGTGTGGATAAAATTAGAACTGTTTCTTAATTAGAAATGTTACCCCTGTGTTTCAAACTGTGACTTCCTTTGTGTAACAAATTTGCATTATGTAGCGCCAAAATACCTCTATTACTTGTATATCTTGCGCATTCTTTGTTTGTGATTTCCAATTCGTTTGAAATGTTGTCCTTTCTGTCTCTAAATATTTTCGCAATAAAGTTCATAAATTTTTGACGAACATTGAGAATTTGTGTACATATCAAAGCATCTTTTTCTTAAAGCTTAGTGACAAAGGTTAGTACACTTAACACATGTATACTAACCCACCCAGACTAATTGCTGACAACTGTTAAACATGAGACTACTAGACTTTAAATTATGTAAATTCTTTAACTAAAGCGCATAACTTTCATACTAAAACGACTCGTACTACCATGTCAGGTATTTCGTACAACTGAGAAAAGAGACAAAAAACAGAATAACTAAACATTTATAGTACTTCTAAATATATCTCACTCCTTAATGGTGTTAGTACGGAAGATGTCACTGGTGATAAAACGCCCATGATCAAATACCAAAGTTCAAAAAATACGAAGTAATTTTTATTGTCATCTTGAGCTACAAATCGTCCCTGTTATCTAACAAATAATTTCACTTACTGAATGACTTAAAAACGCAACCTATCGTCCACAGTTGGATAAGGACTGGCTGTGCCACTTGTTGTTGGTGGCTAGCAATAGGATCCATGACTAAATGTGATATGTTTTTCCTCTGCAAGTGTGTTAGAAGTTCCATGATTTTCTTTGTATACATTAATATAAGGATTTCATCTCTCAAAGAAGGCTAATAATTTTTATATGGAAAAGTAAGGCAGTCTCAGTCGCCCACTAATTCTGAACAAACAAAGAAATTTTTGTAACTCAATAGTCAAGTACTTAACTTAAATTCATGAGTGTTTATTTCGACCCTTACTGAAGTGTATTCATTCGAAACAGCACAAACAATACAGAATTCTCTTACGTTCCAGCCATACCCACCCTAAGTTACCTAAAATTCTACTACCAAAAAGACTAAACATGATTTTCCATTATTTTCCAGGTCAGCAAATACTTAGCAAATGGTGGTCGTGCTTTGTTGTTCTTGAATACGTTTGGAGTCTGTAGTCAGTCTTCACAAAGTTTGGCTCATTACGCGAAATCTGCGAATGATTGTGTGCTTAGTTTACCTAAAGACAATGATTTATCTTGGACATGGATGTATAAAAACTCGGTTCTGATAGGTGGATACCATTTAAAAGAGGAGAGTAGTAATGTGGACGAAGTTAATGAATGTCAACCTACAGTTGCCGTTCTCACAGTAAGCTGAATGATTTTTCAGTTGTCTTTTGAGTTTATCAGTTGATGGGTTCCTCAGAATTTTTTACTGAATTAACACATCTTGTTTTTATAGGGTTTATTCTTAAAAGTTCATGTGAAATACACTTTAGTTTGATTTGGTTTGTCATAATGTAGTTCATGTTTAGGAAGTTCTGAACCTCTGATAATGAACTTTGGCCAAGTTAAACCTTAAGTACCACTAACTACTGGTGGAATGCGGCCGCACCAATGACCTTGAAACGTGCATCGATCAAGTTAGTTGTCATCAATAAAATATCCTCATAGAAGTGTTGTGTTATTAAATGGGATATCTGGCAAGTTTCAGCGTAGGTTTGCGAAAGATTAAGTTACGCATTAAGCCATGGACAAGTTAGGATTAGGTCAACCTATTAAAGGCAACATTAGGGTTAGTTCAAGTTAGATTCGGGTTAGTTTAGGCATATTTTCACGTTAGGGCTAGGTTCAGGAAAGATTAGGGTTAGGGTTAAGGTTAGAAGACCTAACTAATTACATGCATAGAATGTGGTTAAATTGCTCCGTTTATATAATAACAGAACTTGTGCACTGTGGTAGAGTATAATTCCATTGTGGGTAAAATTTATTTTGATAAAGTCTCACAGTATTATACAGTAATATCTACCGATGACGTTTCGAGCACAATTTATTGTTCAGTAAATATTACTGTTTTTCAAGTGTTGGTTTGTAGGGATTTGATTGGTTACAGGATTTCATCATGAGCTGACATCAGTTAGAGAACCATTGGAAAACCTGGGAGTACTGGACAGCTGTTTCGTCCTAGTTTGGGACTCTTCAGCAGTACGCACCCACTGGGATTCGAACCCAGGACCTTCTGGTTACAAGGCGAGCTCGTATACCATTAAGCCACTGGGACCCGATCCAATGGTCCATGAATTCTAACTTCTGCCAATTCACGACATAGCGCGACCACTAGTCAATGTCTTCGGCGAGGATTTTTCCTCACGCTCAACCTACTGTACCCCACTGGTCACGACTTCCCCCTAGAACCCCAGATAACTACCTACCTGAATAGGGCCAGTCGCTAGTGGGCGTCTCATTGATATTCAAGTATTGGTTTGTAGGGAATCTATGAGTCCATTGGGTCGGGTCCCAGTGGCTTAATTGTCTACGAGCTCGCCTTGTAACCAGAAGGTCCTGTGTTCGAACCCTGGTGGTGGGTGCGTACTGATGAAGAGTCCCAAACTAGGACGTAGGAAACAGCTGTCCTGTACTCCCAAGTTTTCCAATGGTTCTCAAACCGATGTCATCTCATGATGAAATTCTGTAACCAATCAATCAAATCCCTAAAAGCCAATACTTGAACTTATTTTTGTAAGTTTGTTGGAACTCCGTCTGGAGCAATTTGTTAACATAACAAAAGTAGTCGTACTAAACCGTAAAGAAAACGCTTAGGGGGTGACAACTTAGTTTTCGTATCTGACAATACTTTCATTGAGTGACTCTACTAACCAATCTTCTACGCGCTTTGTCCAGTTTTTGGAAATTTTACAGACTTTGATTTCGATGGTAACTTGCATTATTAGAAATATAAGGGACAAAATGCTTAAGTGGTTTTTATATTTAATCTTTCAAATCTTCCAGTTTCAGAAAGTATGTTTTCTCTCTTCAGACTGATTGTTTAAGAAGCAGTTCAAATCACTTGAAAAGCGCTTTGAATCTTCTTGGGATTCAGTGTGTGTCCATTGTGAATGGGCGAAACGATAAGGGCGAAAAATTGTTGCCTACAGCTTATGTACCCAGTAAGAATATTTTGTACTCTTTTTCAACAGATTCATCGAAACAGGTGAGTTTATATTATCATATTTTAATGATTGTTCAAGCATCATATAAACTTTTTTTGGATTTTGATAATGTTTTAAGCAAAATTACCGCCCGTGATCACATCAACAGTTGAAATTGTTTTTATGCTTCTCCACTCATTACATGTCTGTAGCCATTAGTTGAGTTATTTTACTACACATATTTTCACGTGTGACGAACAGCAGTTTCATAAAGTTCCAACCACGAAAGGATTCTAACAAGAAGACTTCAAGTCACTCATTAAAAACTATGTGAACTGTTTAATTAATAGGTCCCATATCGTAACTAATAGTCAAGTAACTAAAACTCGGTTGAATAACTAGCTCAATGAAGTACCAATAGTTTGACATCTTACGTCAGTAATATTTGATTGTAATAGTGTAATTAAAATTCAAGTAAAAATGAAATCTGACTGGTTGATAGAAAGTGAAATATCACTAGGTATAGTAACCCCTGCAGTCAAATATCTAAGCTTTCCTCATCTTGTTTTGGGTGTACCTCTCTATAGCTCTGCTTTTAGCGTCGATACTGCTTACTGGTAGTATGGAGATTTGCGGTTTAGGATAAGCGCAACTTCATGTTAGTCACGTACATCAGTCACCATCGCATAATGAGGTCAGTCTAATCACCACTCAAGGTGTTAGATATCTTTACTTGGCGATGCAGATAGCATAACTTGTTAGGTACTAGAGGCGCGTGCTTCATTCTAAAATTTAAGCCCAAAATGCTCGGACGATGCTTTACGCTTACTTTTCCCTTCATGAATTCCTTGTTGTTAAAGAATGTTTGAACAGCAGGTCAGAAGGAAACAGATGCCTCCATCAGTATGCCTTTGAGTTCAGTGTAAAGTAATCACAGTTTGCACATCTTACAGTCATCACTCATCTCTTTAAAGGTAGTTAGACAACTTTTATATTCCTTACGAGGGGTTTTAGCCACATAATAAACTCGTTCGATGCCGTATTCATTGTCAGACACTGCCATATATTTCAAGTAGTCCGGGAGATACGAATACAGACAAACAGTAGATTTATGCCTGTGTAATTGAATTGAAATTAAATAATAAATCGTATTTTGTAAAGTTTTCAGTCATAGGCATCTTATAGAAAGTCACTAGTTTTTTGTAGATGAAATTTATAGTATAATTCCAAATAATTTTATCGTAAACAATCTCTTCTGTGGTTTGTACTATTGCGCTCTTAAATCTACACCCATTTTGTTGTGCTCATTATAAGTTAGACTAAAATTTCAAACTGGTAGTTCTCTTGTTTCTTAAAGGTTGTTCTGATTTGTTAGCTGCAAGGTTGAGAAAATCAGAATCAACATTCTCAGCTTTTTATATTACTGTTTATTGCGTACCATTAACAACTAGATGCACAAGAATGGGCAAAATACGGTTTTGTGTTGCTCTGTCTTCCGTATTGTACTTATTCGTCTGCCTTTCATGTTTTCCGTGTTGTTCCGGAAGCACTGTCCATCGTTTTCCGCCTATTGAGGACATCTCTACAATATTTTAATAATTGTAACTGTCTCGAGGAATTTAATTCCACTAATGCACATAACTTCAAACAAATATCTTTTTACATTTCAGTCTCAAAATCGTTCTCAGCGGCACAGATTCATTTAATTCCATTGTGGATAAAATTTATTTTAATATTGCAAAAATGTTCATTCAGACATCTATAAAAACAAAATAATCGAGCAAAGAATATTCTTTTCGATAAATTCCTCTTCCAGGCTCTACAATTATATATATGTTTTTATACACAGAATATTTTAAATTAGTAGTTAATAACAATATTAGCGTTTTTTTAAAAATAATATCGATTTGTAAAGTATGATCAATGCTATTGCAGTTCATTAAAGATGTTTAAATTACAATAATAATAAAGATATAACAGCGAATAGAATATCAACTAAAATTAGGGAAATTTCACAAAAATTCTGGATTATTCAAACCTGGATGGCCAAGGTAATGATAATGACTGGACTAACTTCTTTTGGGTGCATAAATTAGGCTTATTAATATGAATCCCCACAGCCTCAGCAATATTTAGAAGTCGAACTCTTAAAGCGAAATTGAGATTCGTAGGTATGCGGTAAATGACCCTGAAAGCATGATTAACGTCAATCTTGTGTTCTGTCTCCACAAGATGCGCCAGAATAGCATTGCGAATAGATTTTGTTTGACCTTTGCTTAACCAGGCAGGGTGATGTTCGGAAATTCGACGAGAAACACGCCTAATTGTACGGCCTATGTAACTGGCTCCACAGGAGCAGTTAAATTGGTATATACACATGGAAGAGGCGAAATTAGGCAGTTTGTCTTTTATTCCCGAACGCAGAAGAGGAGTGGTTCTGAAGATACAGCGTAATTGAGCAGCAGGGAATGCTCTTTTTACCGCATTTCTGAGGCGATGTGTTAGTATTTCACTTGTGTTGTCTCCTAGGAACTGCATCTGTAAGAACAAGGCTTTCTTTGGAACTGTTGGTACCTTGGATTGTTTTGGTTTTAGATTCATATTCTTATCAATAAACTTTTCGGGATAACCATTCTCACAGTCTCACAGTGTTATACAGTAATATTTACTGATGACGTTTCTTTTATTATTCCTTTACGTTCCCAGTGGAACAAGGGGGTTCAAGCTAGACGATTGAAGTTTCGGTAGCAGTGGTGTTTATTTTTACTGGATGGGGTTGCTAGCCTCATGCCCAACCTTTTCTCTTTACCAGTCTTATTACTGGCTTAGTGAGGTAAAGGAGTGCGTCGGCCGGGGGTCGAACCCCGGACCGCCTGCGCGGTTGGCGAGCATTCTGCCGAATAGCCACGGACGCCCTGATGACGTTTCGAGCACAGTTTATTGCTGATAAGCATATTAAGTTACTCACACAAATTGCCAACTTAGTTTATGTGATTCCACTATTTCTCATCCCTTGATTTGATTATTTATTATTACTATTGTTTCCTTTAGTTCCTAGGGGAACAAAAGGCTACAGCCGCACGTGTCTCCATTGCTTTCGGTTCCCCGCTAATGTATTCACCTGGCTCCAGATTTGCCCACATGCTTTCTTCTCCTCTTCGCATGACCTCCTCCATGTCATCCTCAGGCGAACAACTCGTCGCTTGATTTGATTGGTAGTAATATTTTCCATATTTCTGGTATGACTGATGAGTCATTGCTATTGTACTTGTTGGGTGTCGATTATATGAACAAAGATTCAATAATCAACCTCTTTCTCTAACTACCTATATTACTTCTTAGAATTTTAACCCTCTCCCACCCTATTATGTGATTGTGTGTTAATGCATGCAGTGCAATTGCTGAGGTTTTTTCTAAATTACTTATCTTCTCGGGGTCAATCATTCTAACCTTTGCTAAATGCTCATGTCCTCACAATCTGACTACTCCCGATCTACTAGTTTAACCTATGTAGTTTACGTCGTAGTCATTGCAAGGTATTTTGTAAATTATTTGATTTTGTCTATATAGATCAACACGGCCCTTTAACCTACAGAGCTTGTCTTATCTGAGTGAGTTTGTAAGTTTAAATGCCACTCTAATTCCTGCTTTATTACGAATCCTACGTAGGGGGTGTCTCAGATGTCGCCTTCTCATATGGTAACACTAGATGCCTTATATTCTCTCTTATTTATGTTATCATTATTAGTTTCCCCATTATTTTTTGCTTTTGACCTTTTCTGATCTTCCTAATGAGTTTTATAGGATAGTTATTTGACACCAACGATTCTTCTATCTATTTTGTTTCATCATTTAGCTCTTTTTTGTACTACTTAGTGCTACTGCTCGGTTTTTCAGACACTTAGCTAAACACGCCTTAACAGTAAACTGATGAGATGAATCAAAGTCTAAATATCTATTAGGATGCGCTGCTTTTTATAAACGCTAGTGTGCACTTTACCTTCTGTTCGTTTTATTTTGACAATCTAACATAGTTATTTGTCCTTGTCCATTTTCCGATTCAAATGTGAATTTTATTCCTTATACTAGTGAGTTTGTGTGTGTGAAGAAGCTAGAGATATGTTATGTTTTTAACACTGTGAAAGTGTCATCCACACATCTCATTTTAATGTATAACACTGAGAATTTATCAAAATAAATTTTATCTATAATGGAATTATACTCTACCACAGTGCACAAGTTCTGTTCTTATAGCAGATGGTTTTACTTTTTGTGACCTCACTTATCCATTAAACCCTCATATTTTGTCATTTTACTATTCTTTCTTCCGCACATTTTTTTTTCATAATAGCTCTTTTGAATCTGTCGCTTTATCTTTGTTTGCTATATGGGGTGTGACTGCATGAACTGCTACACTTCTGTGCAAAGTTCTATGCTGTGTCTCAGTCCGTCCAGTCGATTGACTTATGACATTCGAAAAATACTTATAATGCAGTTCTGTTTTATTGTGTGATTTTCGTGGAGTTGAAGACAGCGTTTAAAGTATTCACTGTTATCGCTGTTATGGGTAATAGTGGTACACATGAGATTACTTTTTTGTCTGCTTACGTAACCGTTAAAGTCTAAAAACTTTATTCTTATCTATAAAATATAATTTTAGTTAATTTGTTCGTCAGATTTTTACAAAATATTTAACAACTGCATTCTTTCGGCCCTGTATCAAGATGAATTTCAAAGATTTTTGAATGTTACCATCATATTTGTTTATATTCGAATTTTTAGAAGATTGTTGAATTTCTAACTGATGAATGTGTGAAAAGAAATTATAAGGAAGAAATTATTTACTGTTCCAACGTGTCTCATCTCCCAGTAGGATTTAATTGGACAGATTACTTTTCAAATCTTCATACTGAGCAGTTGGGCAGATTAGTTATTTGGGCTTATTCTATGCCATCTAGTTGGGAATTTTGTCAACGGTAAGTTTTATTATTTTTGTTTGATGCTAGACTAGTAAGGATGACTGATTAGAAATTTTTTTCATGTTTAAGAATGATTTATTCTAGCAGTGTTCCAAAACGTATTGATATAATACTGTTTATTTTACTAACTTTCAGTCATGCTTATTGAAAAGAGGTTCTCTGTAATACAACACTGCATGTATGAAACTTTTTCCCGCCACGTGACTTGATGAAGATTTAGGACTTTATCTATGGATTTGCCTCTATCGCCTAGCACTTTGTGTTTAGCTGGATTTTATTATTTTAATAGTGAATTCAATCTCTAAACACTTCATAATCGTCTCTGCAATAGTGATACTATGAATTGCCCATCTTGAAACATTAGTTTCAGCTGCGTCAATGTTTGTGGCTGCCTACATTATGCACTGGTCATGTTTTTCTTGACACTGAGAGTGACCGAATAAAGAGAGAATATAAAATATCCAATTTTTCTTAAAACGGTAAGCCAGTTGTGTACTAGGATAGCAGTTGTTTTTGTATTGTGTTCGCAAAAACACTAGCGACATCTATGATGTTTCGATGTTTCTTTCTCTAGAATAATATCAAAGTAAAACGTATTATTAACAAAAAATGTTAACAAATGTTTTTTAATATAATAGATTCTTTGAAAAAATTCCCCCGAATTCTGGACTTTTGGTATGCTCTGATATTCAGACGAACGGAAAAGGTGAACCACATGCACTTGTTTAAAAGTTTAAAATCAATGGTTTGTAGAACTTTTGAGTAGACATTGTTAATTATTTTGAGATTTGTAATCTGTATTAAATAAAAACTATAAGGCTGTTTTGTTAATCACAAGTCACAATATGAGGCTATTGGGTTTGCATTAAATTACAATATGAATCTTTCCATATATTGTTGCCCACTATTAACTTTGCATGTCTTAAGAGGTTGAAAAAAAGAACATTTGTAATGTTATGTGTAATAAGTGCATAAGTTACAAGTTTTACTTTGCATTTATAAGTATGAATATGATTCATACTACACATGTGTTGTATGTAGACAAATTTAACACAAAAAAGAACCGAATCGTCTTAAGCCACCAGGGATCACGACCGGAAACAACTGCTATTACAGGTTACCGGATTTCATCATAAGCTGACTCCGGTTAGAGTACCTTGGAGTACTGGACAGCTGTTTGTTTGTCCTAGTTTGGGACTCTTCATCGGTAAACACCCACAGGGATTCGGACCCAGTACGACAGTTCGATGCTTAAACCACTATAGTGGATGAAATTGAATGTAGACCGTCAAAAGGCATTTCAAACTGATCAGAATGAAAATGTTACCTGTGGTTGCAAGTAAAGAAACAATGAGAATTCATAAGTGATGAAGTTCATTGTGCTAAACATACCCTTTTTACTAATTTAACATGAAATAAAAGTGTCGGTGCGCAACTTTTGTTAAATGTGAGTTGTTTTTGTAATCATCAAATACTAAAGAAACAATCCTATATTCTAGAACAATTTGGCTAGATTGTTGTGAAAACCTGCAGGCCAGCTTTGTCTTGCATACAGTCTGGTGTGTGGATAAAGCTGCGATCAGAGTATTCGGCAAGCTAAGGTTAGTTAGAACAGATATAATTATAATACATCATTCCAACTGAATAATGCATAAAGATTCATTATTATGAAAACTCGAAATAATGAACAGTGAAGTGAGTTTGTATAGGAAAGCTTTTCAACAATAAATCAGGATTATAACTGAACTGTAGAAATAACTATACACTGTAGAATACTAGAAATTAAAACAAGTGGCTACATAATTATGTAAAATCAATTAAGTAACTGAAGTGAAGTAGGCAAACTTATAAATCGATTGAAATAAGAGTAGTTTGTAATTAATTTTTGCCGCCCAAATATCTACTTTAATTATCACTCATGTTACATACTGATATTGGCTCTATGACACTTGAAATGTATTTCTTCACTTAGTTTGTTGTTTTCATAAATGTTGAAATAGGATTATTCATTGCAGAATAATAATAGGATAAATGAATGTAGTATCTACTATTCAAGAACAAGCTGTCATTCGATATCTGACTGGCACTTAAGCAATTAATACCATAGAGACAATTATTGCTACAGCTTGCGTGGATACTAATGTTCAATCAGATTTCTAAGCTTAAACACACTGTGTTAATTAAATCTGTTCATCTTAACGCGGAAGCAGAATCAAACTGCCTTGACTAGAGACTTCATTAGTGTTTCTTTTTCTGTCGAACAAATATATTATTAGAGTGCTTATCAGAACTCACCTAGTTGATGCATAAATGGTGAGAAACGAAGTGTTCGTCGAAATTATTTCGGTATTGGTAGTGGCCACTCATTTTACCTTCGTTTTTTTTCAATACGGGAATCACATAATAAGCCTATTACTTTGACGACATGGCTGTATCGACTAAAATAGTTATAATGATTTTAATTTCTTAATACTCTCTAATTCATCATTCAGCCATGAATAAAACATTTGGAGCTCATAAATTTGTTTGCAGTGTTTACCGACAGATTTATTGATAAATCGGTGTCTGCATTCGTGATATCTGTACTTCTGGTAGTCATACTTCTAATCATACTTGTACTTAGTTAATCTTACTCGACCCACTATTTCAAATACTAGTGATTATGTTCATAAGTGAGGTATATTTTCAGTATTATTAGGAAAACATTTGTTTTCACTGAACTTTCGATGTAAAAGTGCTGTTAGATTAAGTATTATGGAATTTAATTCATCATTTACAAAATAACATAGTTCGAGTGGAAAATTCACCACAGCTGCTTTCGGAAGCCTTAATTATACAGTCTACAATATATGACATGAGTGGTTCACAATTATGGGTACGAATCAGTAATGTATGCTATTTCTCTTCAACACTAGGTCTATTATTAATTTCATTTGCGCAATTCAAAAGTACTTTTCTCTTTGCTTTTACTAGGCAGAGGTGAGAATAAATGGATTAGTCCTGTTGGACAGGCTGCATTTACATTCCACGTAACACTTTCCAATTTCACTGATCGAATGTTTATGAATTATGTAACTTGTATGCAGCATATTATTGCACTGAGTATAGTTTTGGCATGCCGACATCTAATTGCTGAACATTTGGAGAAAATTTCATGTGAAACAAAGTTTTCCGATATTAACGAGGAATTTCTTGTTGTAAGTTGACCTATTTAAGTGAATTTAAGTTTGCTTAATGTCGAAACGCCTACACAGTTTTTGCAGTTCACAATCTAATATTTTTCTCCTCATATGTTGGGTGATACGGTAGACCTAACGGTTTAGATTTGCATTGATAAATGAACTTAATATTTGGACCTGTGGAGGTATAGTTTATTTCCATGCAGAATTTGCCAAAACCATTTCTCGTACTTTTCTTAAACTAAAACGTAACCGCTACTGGTTGCTAACCGGTTTACAATACTTCTAGTTCGTATTGTGATCTACGTTGAAATTCCTATTAAATGTCATGGATGTAAACTATGGATGTAGTTCTTAATAATGAGAAAGAATTTAAGTGAACACATCAACTCCTTTGTTCATCCACACCGTCAAAATCATCCTGCGTAGAGACGAAGTTTTAGAAAAAAACAAAATAAAATTGAGCAAAGAAAATTTTTTTCGATAATTTCCGCTTCTGGATCTACAATAATATATATCTTTATGGACAAAGAATATTCTAGAATTGTCGTCATTAACAATATTGGTGTTTTTTAAATACTATCAGTTTGTTAAGTAAGATCAATGAAATTACAGTTCAAGAAAGATACATAAATTATAAGAACCATAAAAATAATAATACCAAATAGTATATCAAATAAAATTAAGGAAATTTCTGCAGCAAAGGGACGATCAATAAAACCTTGATGGGCCAAGGTAAGGACAGAGTCTGAACCAGCTTCTTTTGGATTTATAAGTTAGGTTTCTTAATGTGGATTTCGACGACCTCAACAATATGTAGTAGACAAACTGCTAAGGTCAAGTTAAGATCAGTTAGTATGCGGTAGATAACTTTGAAAGCCTTAGTAACATCAATCTTGTGTTCTGTATCCACAAGATAAGATACTATGCACTACGAATGGATTTTGTTCGTCCTTTACTTAACCACGCAGTATGATGTTCGGAAATTCGACGAGAAACATGCCTAATTGTACCGCCTATGTAACTGGCTCTACAGGATCAGTCAAATTGGTAAATACGCATAGAAGAGGCGATATTAGGCAGTTGATCTTTTGCTGCTGAACGCAAAATAAGAGTGGTTTTGAAGACACAGCATAATTCAGCAGCACTGTTTTTTCTAATTGTCTGAATGTATATTTTCGCTATATTTGAGATAAAGTTTTGTTTGAAAACTGTAGATTAATTTAATATATGATGACACATTCCCCGTCCAAGTGATTAGGGTAGGATAAGAAATGAAATCACTGTTATTTTGAACTATACCTTGGGTGTGTCTTCTCCGAATTAATTTACAGCGCCACATATGTATGTTTTTCTCTATTTTACTAAAGACTCAAAAATATATTTCCAATACTTTTACTCTATTTTCCAAATCCTCATCAATTTTATTATCGTCTGTTTTTGTACTCTCTCGTGAAAGTCGTCTGTAAATGAGATGAAAATTCACTTTCGTTTCTGAATAAAATTAAATTTTCTCGATGTTAAGTGAAAATTCTGCAGGTCTTAGTAAAAATATACTTATTTTCTTGATGATAATTATATTTATAATGGTGATTTTTCTGTTAAAGGGGTTAAAATATTAACTCTATTCGACTTAAAGCTCTTTTTGTTTGTTTTCACAGAATCTTCAATACAATGGGCCTAAAATCCTTGTCAAATGGCCAAATGATATATATGTTGTAGAAGATTATGATGATAATAGCGAAGAAACGAATCTAAAGCCTTTTCAGTTTAATATCATTGGCAAATTGGCGGGTGTATTAGTTCGTTGTCATTTAGTCGATTCGAATCATGCAGAATTTTTAATTGGTAGGATATTACTATACATTTGTCGTGTTTTTTATTGATAATAATCATCAATAATATATGAACAGTTTACCTTTCCATTAGGAAGTGACACGTTTCAAAGTCACCTTAATTTGGTATCAATTTTACTGATTCCTCTTATTGTTTCATATTAATGGTTACTTAAGCCAACAGCCTTGTTCAAATTTATGCTTTGCCTCTGGACCTAATATGGGAAAACTGTCTTACTGCCTGGACCTTGGTAAGAGTAACCAAGTGTGTTGACTTGTTGAAATATTATGTTGGCAAATTCATATATATCCTGTCATCATAGTTGAGCTACAGGTAAGTTTCTTAAATGACCCGACAGATAGCTGTTAACACAATGATTCAACGAGCTACACTGGTTGGAACTAATGTTCCTGCAGGTCGTACCATGCCACAAAGGTTGTTTAGATAGCGGTCACATTGAAAGCAGTTACCATTTTGGTAAAGGTTGTTTACACCATACTGGGTGTCTGTGGACGAAGTCGTACTACTGAAGAATAGAGATGTAACAGCAGTAAGGTGATTTCCCTCAGATGACCAGCATGTCAGCTAGGCCGCATCTCCAGTTTGGAGGTAGTGGGTGGGTGCAATAAAGATTGACCCTGAAAGTTGTACATACTAACTTTCATTCCGGCGATAAGGTCTTACTATGGACGCTAATATTTTAATTTCGAAAGCCACATTCACTCATAAAATAGCTTAGTTCTTGATTTTAAAGGATACTTCTCATATAATCGTAACTTTTATTGTTCTATGACTCTTTTAAACCATGATTTCAGGTTGTGGTATTAATGCATTCAATGAAGTGCCTACAATATGCCTAGAACAAATTTTGACTCACTCTCATCCGTGTAATGCAAAACCAAAATTTACAACTGCTAAGTTGATTTCACTGGTACTGAGCTACATGGAGAGAATAATGACAAAAATCCATAATTCTGATGCAACCTATGATCTTCAATGGGCACTTCGTTTGTACACTAGATGTTGGATCCATACGTAAGTCTATTCACCTCATCTTCTTGAGATTTTGTCTTGCTTATCACTGAGATATCTTTTTCGTTATACAAGAAAGTCGTGACAATCTCAAATTCGGAAATTTAAAGGAGGAAAGCGACCAGACCATACAGTGTTTTCTATCAGGTTATGGATTATCTAAGTACTGGTTGTGCACGCATCTGCAGTGATCCATCACTTTGTTTATCCTCAATTTTCGCACTATGCTTTTAATAAATGTATATCAGTGAAATTGTTCACTAATGTGGATGGTGAAGTGTCACAAAGATGGCTGCTTTCATAGATTTAAATGATTCTGAACAAGAATGCTTAGAGCGACAATTTTTTTTCAATAAATTCTTCTCTATACTCTAAAAATATAAATCCATTACTTTTAGCATGCATTAGCCAGTTACGGCAAATTAGAATTGTATCAGAAAGTTTCTAGTGGTACAAGTACATGATTAAGTAACAGTCAGTAAGTTTTGATTATCATTTAAATTCATATAAAATGTAAAGTCAATAAGAATGTGATATAAAATAGAACTATATAAATCAGTGATGTTTCTCTTTTCAACAAAATGTTCACGTTTCAAGCATGAATGTAGCTAGTGGTGTGAAAGACAAAATGAATGTCAATAAATGGGATACGCTAGACGTAAGCTCAAGGGAGACAAATAACAGTAATAATGATAAAACAGCGACGATGTGGTCTAGATGAACGCTTATCAGGTAATAAAGGATTGTGTAAATGCAATAACAAGTCTGAGGAGCATTAAATAGAACTAAAGTGGTAATATATATAATGAAAAAGATCATCAAGTTGTAAAAGATCTGAAATAAACATTTGCCAGTGAAACAAAGGGTAAAAAAAAATGGAAAAAATAGTATGGGGGTTTGAAGTGTTAATTATCAATGTTTATGGAGGATTTGTTGATTTCATTGTAGACTAAGGAAATCAAAGGAGCTAAACACACTCCGTCTGGTTACAGAGACTAGGTTTCCTGGTATTGATTTCTACTGCTTCAGCTACTGATAGATAGAAGATGTAGTCGAGGGACTGCGGAGGACACGGTAAATCAGCGAAAACGTCTGCCCCGGTTTTATTAAATTCTCAGTGTCTACCAAGTTGGCTATAACAACAACTGTTTACGCATTTGCTTGTCTCGTTACTCAACCATAAGGGAACATGTTTACGTGCGTGCATGGAGAAACCCTCTAAGTGCAGCTTACATAAACAGCTTCACAGGATAAGTTGGTAAGGTCATCATTGGTTATTTATCCTTAACTATACTGGTTTAGTTGGGAAACTGAGTAGCAGTTTAGTTGCGCACGATATCATTCGATGGTCTTCTCAGCAAATGTCCAGACCATCTCCATTTTCTTCTACATATTTCCTGAGCAATAGGTTCTTAGTTGGTTTGTCCCCATAGTTTCTTGTTGTTAATTCTTTTTGACCGGCCGGCCATTTGATCTTATATATAGAGCGAAGGCAACTGTTGGAAATGCTTTTCGTGACACACTGGCCAAGTGTCAGACCCATGTAGGAAGAACTTACTTAACACTGATGAAATAAATAGCTGAGTGAATATTATTGACAGTATTTAAAAACTCTTGTTTGTTAAGTTTACAATCACAAGCCATGAAGGCGTCATCTGCTTATCGACAATAATAGTCAAGCTCATAAATCGTATTTCTGAGTGAATCATTTTCAAGTTTTGCCAAGAAAATATCCGCCAGTATAGGACCCAGAATTGAGTCCATTGCAACCCCATCAACTTGTCTGTAACATTCGTTGTCGAAGATAAACTGAATTCTGTTGGTGTTTTCATATTTAACAAATACCTATTTTACACTAAAATTAAAATTTAGTGTAGAATATAAATAAAACAAATGCATTTATTGAAATGTTTTATATTTATATGTGTGTTTATTATTATTATCTAGAAATCAGAAAGTGGGACTTCAAGTTAATTCAACTCTAAGTACAAATAATGCCGGAGATCTGTCTGAAGATAGTTATCGTATTGTTGGCTTAGATGCTTATGGTTATCTTCTCATTGAAGATACACGTACAGGTGTTGAGCACAGTCTACATCCAGATGGTAATTCAATGGATATGATGCGTGGGCTGATAATAGCAAAATGAGTTTTTTTCTCTTTTTTTTTAAACACACTAGTCCAACTATCTTTTTTCCCCCTTCAGTTCCAGTGCAATAATAACTTTATAGTGGGATCTATTTTCTTTTTGTATAGTCTTCAATGTATTCGATATGTGTGCTTTTTTGTACGTAAATGAATGATCGTCGCTACTATTTTGTGCACACATTTATAAGTATTTTTGATTTCTGAACTTTTTGTTGTTGTTTAGTTATATTATCTTGGCTCACTACTGAATATAAAACGTACATTGATGAATTTATAGACTGGATTTTTTTTCTTTTAGGGGAATATAATCTGTTAAAAAGTATAAATAATATTGATTCACAAGCGACTTGGTCAAAGATATCACTGTTTGCTTATTGTTATCATAAACTTCCACTCTTTTTTATTTGACTACTAAATAATATCCACTTCGGATGTTTTTGTCTCTGTTAGTAAAGATTAGGCCAATCGACAAATGAAATTTCGGTATCAATTGCAAGGAATGTTCGGTGTCTGACTTGAAGGAAATATTACGATCATACTGTAGGTGTGTATTAGTTAATGCCTCCGGAATCATGTGGTTATCACAATAATTTAAGCCTAATGCTTAGTTATGCATGTGGATTAGTATAGACTGTACTTATTACGCAAGACATTCTATTAAATAGAATGATCTGTATTCCCTTGAAGTCTCAGGCAACAGTAGCCAAGGTTAAACAAATTAGTTGGCAGATTGTTAGTAGTAGTGTTAGTAGTGTAACCTATCCAGCCTCAAGTGTGTAAATTGGTACCTGACGATTAAGTATCCTGTGTTTACTAGCTACTATTTACGTCCCCTATTGTGTTGTTTTAACCTGGCCTATTATACTAGCCGGTCCAAACCTTGGGGAAAGAGGAAGGGTGGGGCTAGCGACCCTGCCCCGGAAAATCAATCAAACTGTTACAGAAACATCAACGCAAAACAAAACTATTAAGAATACAGAAATATAAAAAAACAAACTAATTCTTCGCTGGAATCGAAGAGGCGGAATGACACAGCGGGCTGGTGAAAGCCAGTCTTCGGGAAACCAGTCAGCCGACGTGTCTTCTCTCGATAAAAGCAAGAATGAGAATGGGAACGTGGAATGTCCGTTCGATGCAGGAGACTGGGAAGGCTGTCCAGGTAACCAAAGAAATGCGAAGATATGGTATACACACTTGTATGCTGGGTATCTGCGAGAGCAGTTGGAATGGATGTGGATTGTCAAAATTATCAACTGGAGAGTTAGTAATCTACTCTGCTCTGGTCAACCGAACGACAACCACGAGCACTCTGAAGCAATGAGTGACTATCATGATGTGACCAGTGGCAGCCAAAGCCTTAATGCAGTGGGAACTAATTTCATCCAGGAACACAATAGTAAGATTCAACTCAAAAGGAAGGAAGGTCACAATTATCCAATGCTAAGCACAGTGCTACAAACAGCGCGGAACAAGAGAAGAAGGAAGATTTCTACTACAGACAACTGAAAACAGTAATGGACAACATCCCAAATGGTGACATCACAATACTCATGGACGATATGAATAATACGGACAGAGACTGCGGCAAATATACCGACGCCATTATTGCAAAAGGTCTGGAAGGAAGGAAAAGTACCTACCTATTGGAAGAGGGGCTACCACGTCAAGCTGCCAAAGAAGGGCGACTGAGGCATGTACAAGAAATGGCGTGGAATAATGCTCTTGTCCATTCCAAGTAAAACACCAAAACGCATCATCCTGGAGAGAATAAAGGATGCACTGGACACAGAACTCTGCAAATCATGTATTGATCAAATTGCAACTCTACGCATCATCATCACGGTATAAAGCATAGTATGGGAGTCAGACCTCTCCCTACCTCAACTTCGTCGGCTTCAAAAAGGCCTTCACCAGACAGCCTTGACCGAGAAGTAATTTGGAAACTACTTCAACACTATGACGTGCAGTGTCCAAGTCTTTATCAACCTCATTCAAATGTTGGCTATATGACAATGCCTGTCGTGTGCCAGGTGATCCGCAGCGGAAAACTTAGCGAGGCATTCGAAGTGAATACAGGAGTAAGACAAGGCTGGCTACCTATTATTACCGATGATATTCTTAATTGTGGGGGACTGTATTATGCGTCAGACTGTGCATGGGGAGCGAGGAGTCAGGAATACACTGGACCACCAACAAGAAGACTCTAGGAGATCTGGATTTTGCAGATGATACATGTCCAGTGTCACACAAACTCGAAGACTTACAGGCAGGCAGGCGAAAATCAACAAACTGGCTGAAGAATCAGGAGGCGAAGATAGGACTCCAGTTAAACACAGAGAAAGCGGGGATGGAGGTGATGAAGATAACCAACAGCAACAACAACAATCACCATCAACGCGAGAGCTAGCTCCCTTATTTACTATACAATTCCCTGCTTACTTGTTTTCAAATTTATTTTGCCAATGCTAATATTGTTCATGTAAGAAGGAGATAGCTTGGAGTGTGCAGTAAATACCAACTATCTCGGTCAATGAAAAGCCATAACATTGAATGAATTGACTTCCGTATTCAATCCCAATACTTTGTTTCATTATACCACACGTAATCTATGCTACAGAGATATGTTTAATGAAAAGTTATCTTTTCATGTTGTTTTTTTGCTTTTAACTTTCTCGAGCAGTTAACTGCTGTTTAGTTTTCACTGACTTGTCAACGTAAAACTGCACACAGTACATCAGTTTAAATTGTTACAGCTCGGAAAGATATAACAAAGAAGCGTAACGAAAATATAATGGACTAAAGTGCTCATGTTTTCTAGTAAGCAGAACAGTATTTCAGCTGCACTGAAAACGATAATAATTGACAAATACGAGGCATATAGGTCTTCTTTAAGTGTGCTGATATTTAGTAAACAAATTCCCAATTAACTAAATCAGTCGACACATTCGATCAGGGCTTTTTTTATCTGTAATCGTGGAGTTGGAAAAAGATTTATCCACCATCCTGAAACTTTCAATTATCACCTAACTAAACTGTTTGATAACTGCAACTTTGGTGCTTGGAATTGCATATCTCAATGACCTTACGAGCTATACCGGTTGGGACGAATTTTTCTTTAGCTCTTATCATCTCACACAAAGTTCAGTTAGGTGGCGGTAAGGGTAAAATAAGTTGCCGTCATAGTGTGATCTGCTTACATTAGGTTACGAGAGTGAGGGCAAAGTTAAGCTGCCAAGTATATAGGTGTAGGAATTGTAAAGCGTTTTCATTAAATGACCAGTCATGGGGTCTTTGAAAAGAAGGGTTGGTGAATAGTAAGTCCTCAAAATCGCACAATCAAACCTACTCGACTGCTGTTCAGAGTAAGTAATAAGACTCTTCGTACTCACGATATTTCAAAGGTTCTCTCACCTCCAAACAGGTTTTGCGCGGTCAGCATCAGCTAGTCATCTTGTAAGTTCTAAGGTCATTTGAAACAAGTCCTTTTACTCGTTTGGGAAATCTGAGGATAAATATCTCATGGTGGACAGTCTTTTTTAACTTTTCCCTTAATTTAATCTTTGTTGCTTCTCTGCAGTGCCAATAGTGTGCACAAAATAATTCCTACATTTCTTAACTTTACGAATACTATTGATGGCTTCTACCAGTGAAACATAATTCGTAGCCTTTCGAATTCAATTTGCTAACTTCACATCGGAGCTTCCAGCGTTCGAGCCGTAAATAATTTCCGACGGTCAGACTTATTGACTGAAATTTTGGTCATGATTTCAGGCAGGCAATATGTGCTACTTTTCTGAGAAATACATTCATGACCATAGTGGGATTATTCAATAAGACCTCACCTAGGAAACGAATTGAATTTATGAAATTCGCTTCAGGGGTATCAGGTGACCCTTTAGCTAGGTCTTCTGTACTTGCTGCTTTCGAGATAGCACTAAGTTTTGCAGCAGAGAAATCACTGATTGACCTCATCCCAATCAACAATTGATTAGAATATTTGTACTTGACTTATTATCGCACACCCTATTTATATACTAATTGCCTGCAGTTCGAACAAAGGAGAGTATGTTCTATCAAAAACCGTCAAGTTTGCCATAGAAAGCAAAGCGCTCAAATGTAGTCATCAGTGAGTTGTTTCAAAACTCAAGCAGTGCCAGCCGAGCTAACGTAAAAGGTATTTTGGGGCCATATACGGAATTCATAACCGATTATTTAATTTTTTTGAAACCTAAACATAGTACAATATTAATACCAGACCATAACAATGATATTAGATGGTTGGAGGCAACCGGCAGGAAGCCTTGGGCCTAGGTTTCGTGCTGGCGAGCTACCTAGAATGGTGGCCACATTACAAACCTGAATGGTAGAATTCAGTCTGTACTAAAGAAAGGACTAGAAACATCAAACTACTTACTAGTGTCCAATCAAAAAGAATACAATTATATTAGATGTATAAGAATAAAATAACTGAGTTTAGCATCAATTACTTCATGTAACTTTTGGAAAAGGAAAATTGCAGCGTGTCCGTTGCTGATATTGGTTCCCAGCCACGTCTGGTCACATCTTGAGCCACTCATCCTGATAATCTCTCGGATAACACAGAGGGAGTTGTGTCGCACGAGTAGATGCTAATCCAGCACAACTATCTTTCACCCAACGGTTCCAAAAAGTAGGCTGATCAACCCACCTTTTTTTTCTGCCCAGAACTACCAAATGAACGGCATGGAGGCAGCATCCATAGTATATTTCCTAGCAACTGAAGTCGGTTTCTGAAGATATCACCACTCTTAAATGACCTTAGTAGTCGTTATATTTTGATGTCACCAGTCACAGACAATTTTACAAGAGCATTTTTTTTTTCCTTCACGTTCCCCAGTGCAACATAGGGCTTCAAGCTAGTGGCTGAAGTTTCTGTAGCAGTGTTTATTTTACAGGATGGGGTTGCTAGCCTCATGCCCAACCTTTCCTCTTCACCAGCATTATTTCTGGCTTAGCGAGGTAAAGGAGTGCGTCGGCCGGGGATCGGACTCCGGACTATGTGCATGGTCGGTGAGCGTCCTAACCGCTACGCCACCGACGCACAAGGGCAATGATGGTTGAAAAAGCAAGGTCGCCTTACATTCTGAGATTTGAGTCTCCAGCTTTCGCAGATGTAGAACAGGAGTGCACACACTGAAGCACCATGTAGCCGAACTGACAACCCTATAGGTAGTCTAGATTAGCATGTGTCTCACCGGCTTTCTCTGTACAGTTAACACTTTTATCTATCATACCTTCTCCAGCACTCGCATAACTACTTAGGCATATTTATTAGTTTGCGTGCA